ATATGACACATTATACTGTTCATTCACGGTTGCTAATGAAAGTTTCCAAACAAGGATGACAGCGTATCTATGGCATTTACTTTTCCGAATAAAAGTTGTCATAGAAACCATAACATATTATTTTTATCACCTGTTTTAAAAAAAAAGTGTCATAAACATTATGACAGATTGTGGTTTTGATGTACCTTTATTAATCAAATCTGTCGTCAACATGATGAACAATTTTGTGTTTGATTTACGGTTGCCAGTACAATATGTCATCCAAATATTTTAGTATGCACTTGTACCATTAAAATAGTCATAAACATTGAGACCAAGGTATATTTTTATATGATAGATTCATGATACTTCTGACATATTTTGTTTGTAGTCAGGGTGCCAGTCTTGACTCGAGATCTGAAAACTCGAATTAAGCCGCCACTGTTCCGCAGTGGGGCTGCAAGGAATGCAAGCAACCACGTTATGTCAAGCTGTCAGGGGGCGGCGGGCCTTGGGCCCAGCTTGACTCCAAAAATTGCAAGAACTTTTGTTTTTATAGTTTGGACTTAACGTGGACTTAGCCCTGAATTACTAAGTCACTTGTAAATCAAAGCATATCAAAGCTATGTCCAACTTAGACTTAGCTGCGTACTTAGAGCCTGGGTTATAAGTCAAAGCTAGCAAACCACCGGGCAAGTAATATATAAAATATAAAATAGTGCAACGTACTATTTGTGTGCGAAAAGGGGATTATTTTCGGTGACCTAGGGTGAACAAATCCCTCACTCTGGTTAGCTAAGCTGCCAAACATGCACTGGACCGGTGAGCCGCTGAGAGTCCAGGCTGGGAAACACGTTTGAACGGCATTATGGTTTTTGACATGACCATGAAGGTGACAACCATTGCCTGGCGATGGTGACAGCAAGGATGGTGTCCAGGACGGTGATGCCACCATCGTGGTACCACGATGCATTTTTTCAGCGCGGTGAGTGTTGTTCGTCCGCCCTACTGGGAACAGAACGTCGGGCTGCCGAAGTTGCGGGGGGAACCATACAAGAAAGAGGGAGACGTGTGGATGACACAGCAATATGCTGGTCCCGCGTGATGAAGCTGCCGCAAGGCACGGAATTTCAACGGACAACGTGGCTGAAAGCAACATTCTAGAGCATCAGAAACCTCGTATGTGCACGGGTTGTTCGTGTTGTTCGTGGTTTGAAGCCTTGACATATCTTGATATATCAAAGTTCATAACGCTTCATAACCTGTATTGTCTCTGGCCTCAGGCCCTGAAAGTTCTATTTCGTTTGTCATCTTGCTTCTTGCGGCTGCACGGCCACATAAAGAAAAAATACTTCCAAGGTCGGAAATTGGTACGCGCAGGGCGTTCGGGGTACTTGGTGACACCATGTGGCAACCCTGTTTTGGGACTCAACATACACTTGACCATTTCTTCGTCGCAAAGAGTCGCCGAGGACGCCTATAAGGGCGTGTCGCGTCGTTCACGATCGGTCGGAGGGTGATGGCTGGGGCTTGGGAGGTCTATACTGATCATCATGCAGTGGCCTTGTTTCTTCGTCGCGGTCACCTTTGTGTTCCGCCCTCTGCCCCGGTTCAGGCTCACGGGGCCACTGCGCAGACCGCACGGAATTCCAGAAACAGGTCGAAAGCGCTCTCCCGGAGGGTGTGGTCAACTGATGTCAACTGGACGCAGCTGTCGACCGTATGTCATCAGGCGGCGTTGAGCGTGCTTGGGTCCAAAGCGACACAGAGTTTCAAACCCTGGTTAGACGGCAACTTGGATCAATTGAAGCAGTTGGATGAGCATATCGCTTTGGCCCTCAAGGCTGACCGTGAGGCCGGAGCGGTCCCCCAACCATGCTCCTTGGTCGAGCAACGACGGGTGGTTCAGGCGCGTGATACGTTACATCGGGGGCGTCGACAAAGGTCCAGGGCCCTTCAGGCGTGGATGGCCACGTATTGGTCTGGATTGGCCACAGCTTGACAGGCAGAAGAAGACCGGGATCTCGGGGAGTTGTTCCAGTTACACCGTTTGTTGGGGTGTCATGGGAAGGCGGTTCGGGTTCCTCAACCCTCGGGGGCTCCAGATGGGAAGCGTGGAGACAGCATTTTCAAGTATTTTCAGGCTATCCAGGCTGGTGGATCCTCCACGCGTGCGGGAGTCCATTCCAGCTACCCCTGTAACTAGTTGCGGACTGGTTGGGTGTCTTGCCTGCCGAAGAAGTCGAGCGCTGTATTGGTCAGTTGAAGAAACGCAAGGCGGCAGGCGAGGATGGCTTTGTGGCGGACTTTCTTAAATATGGCCGTCCCAAGGTTCTGACCACGTTAGTGGCGCTCGTCCAGGCCTGGCAGGCGGCGGTCCGTTCTGACAGGACTGGGCGACTGAATGGCGGGTTGGTCTAGTGGTGGTTATACGTGGCGGGGCATTGTGCTGTTGAGTGTAGGGACCAAGGTGATGGCCAGGATCGTCGCCACACGGCTTGCTCGGTGGGCAGATCCATGGTTAGATGAGGCTCTTCAGGTGTCTTGTCGGGTGGCGGAGGAGGTCAATCGCGTGTCCAGTGACGAGGTCGTGTTGCGTTTCTTTGATATATGAGAAAACATACCCAGGGTCTGTCGTGCTGCCTTGTGGACTGCCTTGCAACGAAGGGGGTGCCCCAGTCCTATGATCAAGGCTCTTCAGGCGCTGCATAGCCACACAGAAAATAAAGGTCAGGGGCTGTGGCGGGGTCTCGTCCGGGTATTTGCCCTGATCGTGGTCTTCGAAAGGGCCCTCCCAGTTCTCCGGTGTTGTTTAACATCAGGCGCACGCGTGTCGCTCATGCGAGGGGGGCAGGTTCCGGGGTTGGAGTGGGAGTTTAAGGTCGACGGGCTCTTAAACATAGAAAAACCCAGGTTGATCGCAACCGAAAAGGGTGGTTGGCATGGTGGTGCCCATGCCAGATGTCCGGAGTTAACACTTCGTGGGTGGGTTTCAGAGACCGGGGCAAGACCATCGTCCGGCGGTTTTTTCGAACACTGGGTCGAGCTGCCCAAGAGGTTGGTCTTTTGGAGGTTTGGGTTGGAACAACGCTTGAAATGTGCCCTTGAGTGTCCGTCTCACGTAGTCCCTGGTCCCTACAGCTTGGTTCACTACTCTTCGCACGCGTTCATGGGAAGTCCTTGATGATTCTTCGCATTCCAAACGGTGTATTGTGGGGTGTTGACGTCGGTGTTCTCGCTGGCGCTGGGATACCATGGCGACTCACCATATCACTGGAGACATGCTCCGGCGGGCTGCAGGTTGGAGTCCCTTTAAGGACATGGTCATGCGGGTGCCTGGCCTAGCCAGAAGACCGGCCCACGGACAAACCGTGAGGCTGTGCCTAAGTATTTCCCAGAAGGAGTCCTATACGGACTCGGAGAGGATCTTTCCTCCAGCCTGTCGCCGTAATGTGGTTTGGGATCGACTCGCTGCTATCACAATCTCAAGACCGCTATGTGTGCAAGTCCTCAAGAAAAGGCATGCTGCGTCCTTTCATATGGAATGCTCTAGTCTCCCTTTGTCACAGGTTTTACTGTCTTAGCCATCCACCCTTGCATCCTGGTTTACTCATTCCTGTCACAATTCCTAAGCCGTCCGTGGATCGAACTTAGCTGTCCCGAACGTTCACCTTGGACTTTTATGGTAAACAGTCTGGACGCCCGCGTTGACCAGTTGGAGCAGAATCCGGATAGGCTCCGGACTCGCGTGAAACGCACCAGGTCGACCGGGTCGACCGACTCTACCACCACTGCAAGGTCTTCTCGATCCATGCCACCTCCTTAGAAGCGGCTTGGGTGGCTTTGGGGGGTGAGGCCAACGGAGCACGGCTGGCTCAGTCTGGAGAAGATTGTGGAGGCTCTCGGGGGTGCATGGCCGCTGACTGTGGAGCAGGCAGGACGAGAGGCCCAGATCCCGCTCGTGCCCTATGGGCCTATGGGCACTAGAGAAGGAGGTTGCGGCTGGGAATTTGGTAAGGCTTGATCCGGAATACGCATGGGGCAGGCCCATGGACCAACGCCAGCGCAAGCCCAAGCAGTTCACTCTGACGTTTCGCCTTGGAGAGTTCGGCAACATCGGCAACCGGGTGGAAAAGCCTGTTAGTGGGGTCCTTAATCATGTCCTTACCACCGCTAATCGGGCCAGAGTGGCTGATCAACCCCCAGGGGTATTGGCTTGGCGAACTAAAACACGAGGTGAAACACTCAAAAGGGCATGGACCCGGGCGCAGGCAGCGGAGGGTGACGCAGGTGCGGCAGGTGGCAGGGCGGCACGGGGAGCAGGCAAGGGTGCTTCAGGTAAGGGCCGCGGAGGGAAGAGTGGCAAGGGTCGGGGACGGGGTGCTGCCTATAAGGAACACTCGAAGTGGGGGCGCTCACCCCCCCCATGCCAAAGTGGTGAGCGGTTTTGGGGCGTCCCAGGGGTGGTACCAACCTATGCTACGCAGGAGCGCGGGCGAGATTTGTTGGGCAACCATACATTTCACACATGTTCACACCACCCTCCTCCAGACTTCCAGTCTTTCAGATACAAGTGTGCACGTTCCGAGTGGGACAGTGGGACTGTCACTTGGTTGGAACTCTCGGTGTCGACCTTAGTTGCTGGGCTACCTTCCCCTATCTCGTTTGTTCGTGTGGGCAACACACGTTGTTAGAGCAAGGATGAGGGGCAAGTGTGGTGTAGAGGGGCTCGGGGCTCGCAAAGCGCAGCTTGACGAGGTCTACCAACAGCTGTCATATAACTCAATGGCATTGAGTCCTTCACTTTTTCGGACCAAACGCACGTTAAACGTGGCTCCAAAAAAAAGACCGCAGCCCGCGGTATCCCGTTTGGGAACCGGAATGCGGCTCCGTATGTAAAAGGCCACCGTCTGAACTTGCACCTTCGGTGAGACAGCATTCAGCGGACCGGCAGTTTGCAAATTGCAATAGGGTGTTTCTGTGGTCCTAGTCTAACCCTCCCGCACACTTTGGGTACAGTTCTCCCAGAGCTCACACTTGAACTGCCAGTCCTGAGGCTGATCAGCAGCCAAATCAGTATCTGATCCTCAAGTGAGGCTTGGATGAAATCGGAACCGAAAGCATGTGCCATGTGGGAAGGGCCGGCTTGAGGGTATGCTTGTGTTTGTCGTTTTCCTACTAAACATCACACCTTGTTTCATGCTTCTAAACATATGGTCGATTTCGGGACCATGCAATGGAATATCTCTTATTTCTACAGCTTTGTTGAGTTTGTCCAGGCACAAGAGCAGAAGTCTGCATCACATGTGAGACTACGGGTGCAATGAAAAATGGGACAATTACAATTGCCAATGAGTATTCAAGCACACCTAGCGCTTCCTGTATGGGTGTCCTGTCTGGTGACCTATAAGCAGTGTAGTGTTGTCCAGCCAGGTCACCCCGAACGGAAGCAGCTGGTACTCTAAGATCATTGGCCAAACAACATTACATCTTCAAACAACATATTCCAAGATTCTATTCTTGGCCGATATGGCCAAGATCTTTCACATCAAACATGGTGTTCACATCATCCACAGCTCCACGTCCTTACTTGGCTGATCGACCTGCTCGCTGCTCCACGCCCGAGCCAGCTTGGGCTCCATGCCACTGCTGCGCTGTCGGAGGTTCGTAAAGTTTCCATGTGCTGCCAGGTGCCTGCGTGGCACTGCGTGGAGTGTGTTGCCAGGTGCTGTGGATGTGGGTTTTGGCTCCCAACACCAGTAGGTCAGTACTACAGTAAGTCTATTATAGTCTATCTACTCGAAACGAAATGTCAGAAGATGTCAGAAGGGAGTAGACAGTCCCTTTCATTCCCTTATTTGGGAGATCTTGGGAGTGTAACTGTTTGATACTTGCTGCCGTTCACGGGGCGGGATGTTTGACTATGGGGTATGCTTCTGCAGGTATGCTTTTGTGTATGCTTCCCGGGGTGCGAAGGGTATGCGCCGCCTAAGTCGAATATCCAACTCTACATAAACTGGACACGTCCAGAAATACTAAACCCATTTCTCTTTCATCCTTTCAGATGCTTTCAAATCCTTTTTGATTCCTTTTGGTCTTCTGTTTGAGTCGTATTTCCTTGGTCGTCCTCGAGTGATTCGTCCCATCTGAGGGGCCTCTCGGGTGGGAGCTTCCCGAGTGAACTGGAAGTTCTCCTTGACCTCAAACGTCACCCATGGCCCTCAGAATATGGAGCCCTGAAAGTCATCCATGAATCCGTTGAAACACCCTGTGTCACCCCAAGAAACATCGGTGAATAGATGTGAAGAGTTCCAGTTCCATAGCAAATCCTGGATGTGTCTGGGTCATGTTTGTTTCATGAAAGAGAAAAACACCAAGAGTCATGGCTCCACTGGGAGCCTTAACCAACGACTCGGAACACTTCCAGAGCTTTCTTCGGCGCAGCACGGTGCAGGCTCTTGAGCCGTCTCTGAGGTTAGCATAGGTTAGCTGTGATGGCAATGGACTTCAATGACCTTCTCCTTCTGCCTCATATTATAAAATCCTAGGTCCTAGCTCCCAACAGCTTCCTGCTTTGCACCTCCATGAGGCTCCCTGCGGCAAAGGCCCCGTGCGCTAACCTCAACATCACCACATAACCGGAAAAAAGACACCAAAAACACAACACGCTCTGCATTCTTGTCTGGTCTCCATACATTTCGATCCTGTTACATGTGTAGTTTAAAAAAAACGCGTGGACGTGAACGAGGCTTGTCTCAAGAAGTTCTCTTATTGACACGTTGTCAAAGGCCGAGTCCAGGCTTCAAAAACCTTGGCCCTGGCCCTACTTGTCCTTCTTCCAAGCACGGCAAGTCCTTCTTGGAGCCTTCTGAGACAATTTTTCCATGTCCGTCCCCGGCCTCTTCTTGTTTGTTTCGCTGGCCACGATCCAGTTGGTGCGCCACTCTGCACCCTGCACATGTAGGTATACCGCAGGTATAGGGATTGTACGAGCCAGACCAGAGCCAGACCTTCGGTTCCATGTCCAAAATGGACAGACTAAATGACAAGATACTACAAGCATACCTTCAGAGCAATTATGGCTCTTTGCTTTGGGGGTAAGCACACGCAAAGGCAATTATATAAACACAATCCTAACCAAAGTAGGCATGGCACGCGAGAGGTGAAACAGCTCGCAGCAAGAAAGTGCCATCTGAACCAACGAGCCAATGATGAATCTATGACCCGTTGGTTCACTGCATCACTGACGGACACGGTGAATCACCTGTGAATAACACACAAACAAAGCAAGTCAAACATATAGGTGTTGTTCTTGTCCTTCTCTCCACCGCTGCACTCCGCCCTCGCTCGCGGCTCTGAGCCAGCACGCCTCGTCGTTGATCTTCCGCATCTCTGTGGCGTGGAGGTTGTCGAGGGCCATGCGCTTGCCGAAGCAATTCCCGGCCACCTATGAGTTGTTCTTTTCCCAGGTCAGGAAGGTCTCCAAGGTTGTTGGAAGCAAACAACATCAAACAACTATCCCTGGAGTTCGGGAACCGCCACTGGCCAAATATGTTGTGAAGATACGTAAAGATGGATAAGCACCCACTCACTCACACAAAAGTACGAGGTATCAGCATAGATGCTGTCGAGTATACATTTATAACATATCCCAGCCCAGTCAAGAAAAAATCATTTATCACGATGGTACAACCACGGTTTGCCAAACATTCTACGTCACGACGGCACATCCCATCCAACGTGGCTGACTGAGCTAAGACACCTTGTCCCCTGCTACGTTCGTAGCTTCTTGCCGCACCACAGTGACCGAACCGGCGATGAAACCGCCTTGCTGGGGATGAAACCGCAGTAGCCGGGCACGGCGGCCTCCAACGTCCCGACATGTCCGGAATGCTCCGTTCGGTTCGCGATGCCAGGGTCGCCCCGTTCGTAGCATCCGATCGCTCCTAGTAGTAAGGCCAGGAGCCCCGAACGTAGCTTCTTGTTCCTCTATGCATGTGATACTACCTTAATCAAAATTACTTAGAATATATCATTTTATGCACAAGACTGAGGGAATGCTGAAGGTGGCAAGTTGCAACATCTCCAGCCATGCTTCAGATTTGACTCAACATTCCAAGCTCACAGGAAGACTCTCGTGGCAAGAATATTCCAAGCTCACAGGAAGACTCGCGTGGCAAGATGCTTGGCAAGATGCTACATTCGGCCATCTTGCGAGCTGGCCTACCATAACCATACCATATCAAGTGGGGGGACGCTTCTGTTGGTTCCCAATCTGAGCGCTCCGGCGCCAGCACGGATTCCATGACCACGATGGTTGTGGAACACAGAGGTGGTCTGGCCCAGGGATGGGAGGGAAAACAGAAACGACCCGGAAACAGCACGAGTACAAGACCGCTTTTTGGAAGAATCTGGGTTGAAGTTAAATGATGGGGTCTTTCTTTCTGATCCGTTTCTTCCTGGCCTTGCCAACTAGACATCAGGAAACAAAAGAAACACGGCTGACCTCAAACTTATCACTTCCATTCATTTCCTGGGCTGGGCTGGTGCGCACGATTTTCGTCGGGCAAGTCTCTGCGAAGCTCTGTAACCGCAGTGACGGAAGGCCCCTGTGCCCTGTGCATCACTTGAAGGACGCAAACGAAGTGTTAATGTATTTTTCTTCAGTCTGAGGCCGAGGTGCTCTGGATCATACTATTCCGGACACAACATGATGCACAAATAGCTCTTGCACAGGAGAGCTCTTCTGCCAGTCGCAGTGAGTTGCCCGATGACTGTGTGGAGATCGTAGTTGTCGATGCTGCCCGGCTCAATGCGCCTGTCACGGATGCAACGAACAATGAAGCAGCTGATGATCTCCCAACTCTCCATGCTTCTAATGATCTCCCAGGGAGAAGTGTGTGAACATGGTGCTTCTCGATTGAATCACATCACGTCGCCCTTTTTGTTCAAAAAAGGCTTTGATCATCTTTGAAGACTCTAAACATGCCTTGTCACAAAGTGCGACAACCACCCCTCCGCCTCTGCGCTTAACAAGGGATCCTCCTGCCTTGGTGTCACAACCAAGTCAAAAGGCCCAATGACCCAAACAACCTGCATTGACCCCTGAAACCAATAAGTAGGTAAACATTCCATACATGGAGTGTCTGAGTAATGCATCTAAGTCTTCGGGTTTCTAGTGGGAGGATTTGAGCCATTGGAGTTTGAGGGCGGGAGAATACTGAGGATGTGATGGTAAATGGTAACCTTCAAAAAAACTGCGGCAGAAGAAAGACCTTCATGGGCCCTCATTGCCAGCTACAACTTGCTTAATCTGGTGTGGTGCCACACGCTAGAACGAACTCCGGCCAAGTCGATTAGAATTAGAAGACTCTGGAAGGCCAGAACCGAATGCACCTCTTGCAAGCACCGAATATTCTGCTGAGAGGCATTGCTCTACGTCTGGGGCACGGGCTCCTGCAAACGAAGAAAACTCGTGCAAATGGAGTACAGTATGAAATGCAGCTGCCACCCATCTGCCTAAATCTCCAAGTGTGCGCTCTTCCTTTTCCAGAAGATTGAGAGGCTCCGGAACTTGTTAATTATGATTATGATCCAGGTGTTTGCATTTCCGTGCACATGTTCCTCGAGAAAAACCACAAAGCAAATGACCGCATCCTTCCCGGTCCCTGTGTGGTGTTGCGTACCTCATCCAGGCGAGCAATGCCACCAAAGAAGCAGCAGCGCCACTGAGGGGCAACCTTGGCTCCAAGGATTAAAGATTCTTTTCAAAAGCGCAAGCAGAACAAAAGGCGCGGACCGCCCCCAAAGAAACCAGTATAGATTTAGCTGTTGCTTTGGGGGACATGGGTATCTTTGAAACGACAAGATACTCTGTGATAGTCATAATTAGTGCCATTTGAACATCTGATTAAGATCATGGCTGAGGGACATTCCTGACTTGATAATTTTGTCAATATATGAATATGATTTCAACTATATATGGTGCTGTGTGAAACTTGAGGCCAGAGGGGGTGAACGAAAGCTAGCCGGGCTTCCGGTGGTCTGCTGCTGCTGCTGGTGCTGCTGCTGCCGCTGCTGCGCTGGGCGCTGCTGCGCTGGGTGCTCTGCAGGCGCCGGGTCGTCTGCTGCTGCTGCTGCTGCTGGCGCTGGGTGGTCTGCTGCGGCTGCTGCTGCCGCGGCGTTGGGTATGCTGCTGCTGCTGCTGCCGCCGCTGGGTGGTCTGCTGCTGCTGCTGGTGCTGCTGCTGCTGCCGCTGCTGCGCTGGGCGCTGCAGATGCTTGGTGTGCTGCAGCTGCTTGGTGGTCCCGCTCACCGCGCGCAGGGGGGAGTCGAACCGCGGGGGGGGGGGGGTCCATAAGATTGATTTAATCAATTATTTGAGGTTTCTGAGGTGCGTCCACCCCGTCACTTAACTTGCTAATAGCTAAGGCTAGCTTTCGTGATAACCGCATCATGCCAAACATACCACCAGATCACACGCCACGTCCACAGTTCTTCTTGTGATCATCCGTTCTTCACTTCCACTCCGCTCGCTTCACTGAATGTCGCGGTAGCATGCAGTCATTTTAATGGGAAATATTATCAAATCAGCTCCAAACAGCTACTAGGAGCAAGGACGGTACTAGGGCCTCCTGGCCTCGCTACTAGGAGCAAGAAGCTACTAGGGGCTCCTGGCCTTACTCCTAGGAGCAAGAAGCTACTACGGGCAGGTGGCCTTACTACTAGGAGCAAGAAGCTACTAGGGGCTCCTGGCCTTACTACTGGGAGCAAGAAGCTACCAGGGGCTCCTGGCCTTACTACTAGGAGCAAGGACGCTACTCGGGGCTCCTGGCCTTACTACTAGGAGCAAGGACGCTACTCGGGGCTCCTGGCATCGCTACTAGGAGCAACAACGCTACTGCTAGTAGCAAGAAGCTACGAGTACTATCAGCTCCCTTTCCACCGAGTTTTTTGCCGCCTCTCCAAACGTTGCAAAAGTTCCACCGAGTCGCCAAATTCCCCGGGGGCGTTCGGCGAGCTGAGTTCCTGACCACTCCGCGAGCTCAGAACCGAGTCAGTGCGAGTTACTCAGTGGATCAATTCATGTGAGACACTTTTCTCCGGGCATAGCTACAGAATTCGTACATACTAGAACTATGGGGTGTAGATATTCGCACATAACTATTCTATATGCAAATATATGCTCGGGCTCGCGTCCAGTCACCCGTCCGGTCACCCGGACCCCCCGGTCCTGCGAGGAGGACGTCGTCCTCGATCACCAGGCCATACTTCTGGATGAGCTTCGCAGCCTCACAGGTCGAGGCGGTCAGCTTGGAGGAAACATCTTCGCCCCGCCCAAGCAGGATACGTATGTTTGGGTTTTGCAGAAAGAAACACCTGAAACTAATTATGCCATATTATGCCATCTGGAGTCTTTTGGACGTCTTTCTAGACGATCGCCCTTCAGACTTTGGGTCGCTTGATGAAACATGCGCGAAGAGGGATGAACAACAACATGCTGTCGAAAATCGAGCACATGGCTGCATTGGAAGTGAGCTTTAAAGAAACGCTTGAACAATTTGAGGTGTCGATACGTGAGTTGGTCTCTGCCTCTGAAGCATGACGGGGGCAGCGGTTCATCTTAAAGGCAGTGGCCCCACCTGTGGCACCGGTTACCGAGGCGACCGGCCAAAGGGTTCGTCGCGGAAGGTCATGACGAAAATGGCTTCCAAACGCATGAGCCGTGGACAAACATCTCAGGTTGGTCATAGATGTTTTGTTGGATTCTATGTCTTCAGCATGGCCCGACCCATAATATATATTCAAATCTCTGCATCCGAGCAGGATCGAATAGGCAGCGACTGCGTGGCGGCCTAAACGCTGCCCCACTTTGCAACTGCCCAGAGTGGCCATGCGCTGCGTTTGGAGGCAGCATGGTTTCATGCCCGATCCGTAACCTCGGTTCGCAAAAGCGTTCAACATTGCTGGCCGAGCCTCCTGTTCTCAAACATTCTGCATTTACCAACCAGTGGCCTTTCTTTGCAGCACCCAACAACCGCTCCAACATACTATAATCCTTCCTGACTGAGAACTCATGCGAACCTTTTCAGCTTTAGTGATGTCTTCTCACGAATTGTCCGCCTCCCTTCGAAGACCGCGACCAACCGACCAAACGGCGCGTCGGAACGCATAGTCGCTGGGAAACGAAAAACGGTCATCTTCAACGACCAAGGCGCCGATGGAAAAGCAGCATCCTAGCACCTCCGACTTTGGCAGCGCCATGGGCTGCCAAGAATGATCAGGATCTTGGAGTGTCCATATGTGTCCATAGAATCCATATCTTTTTATCAATACATTTACAGATCCTTCTAACAAGTCCATCCTTCAATAATAATCCATTGATAATGTCCATGATGATAATGATCCATTGTTACCATCAAGCTTTTACTGGGCCCACAGCTTAAGCACAGCTTGAGCACTTCAAGCAATGGAGGGAAAAAGCTCGCTGAAACTCTTCCAGACCCAGCAAGGTAACTTTTTTGTCTTGTAGACCACATAAGCTGAAGCAAACTGATGCAACATGGATCTGGGGATATGGATGGATATGGGGTGTGCATTAGAATAGGGAGACCCCACGATTAGACTTTAGTTGCTTGTTCACCTTGCCAAAGGGCTTCGGGATTGGCAAATTCCCATATATACATACTCTACTACTCCCACAGACATGGCAAACTTGAAAAACCAATGATACTATCTTTGAGTGGGAAATCTTCTCTAGCAAGAAAGCATCTACAACCTCGACTGTCATGCTTGCCCATGTTTGGGACCTGCCTTTGCCAACGGCTCGTCATGCCCCAACTTGCTTCCCCAGGTCGTGTTCAAGGAGCCATTGTCAAAATTATCTGCACACGGCCGATGCTGGCCAAATGTACTGTCTCGGCAACCCAGCAGCGTTTGTCAACAAATGATGACAAAATGCAACACTGATGAAGCTAGACCAGGGTAACCATCCCTGGATCAACCTGCCAGTTTTACACAGAAACTCAGCTTCAAGCTGCATTAAAAAAAGGCCACAGGTTGCATGAACGAAGCGGAAAACAACGATGCAAGAAAGCATCTGCCGACAATAACAAGGCCCTCGCAATTCGTGTTCTTGGCCCGTCTAGACTCCAAACCTCTCCCTTTAAGCACTCAGGTTCATTATAGGGTGGTGATATTGCGGTGATTGGAGGTCCTGGTGTCAGAGGATCATGTGTCTCATGTGGCAGTCTCATGTGGCCGTCTCACTGCCAGGCGCACGAGTCCGAGCCGTCCGCCGCGTGACCACATCATCACCAGGTTGGCAGCCCCGCGCACGCCGGTGTCTGGCCTGATGAGAAGGGTTTGAAGCATCTGCGGTTCGCCGTGGGCCCAACCATCACCAACGCTCGTTTGGAGTGGGGTTTGGAATGGTTTGGACTCCCACCAAGCCTGTTTGAGTATCGCCAGCTTTTGAAAGACCTATAGCCTAAATCGCAGGAATGGGGTGTGATCATTTCTTCGACGTCACACTAATGCCCTGTCCGGCTAGGTTTCCACACTGCTTCACCCACCAGGAGTGCCTGGCCCTCCACGGCTGCGCCAGGCGTTTTTGAAGCAACGGGGCTAGGTTTCCAGAGTTTCCAGTGGACATGCGGTCCAGGGTGGAGGATCTGATCTGAGCCAACATCAGATAGGACAAAATGCCCTGCTGTTAGCAAACCAAACTCAAACATACTGCACTTCATACATATATCCTATTGAGTGTTTATTAAGCCATGTTATTGTAATTATTTTGATTTCCTTAATTCATCCCCCTTGTTATTTACTCTGCCCTAAAATAGGCGACATCGCCGCCTGAAAGGCAATACGCGGCGAGGCGTCTCTCGGTGGTCTTTCCCAACTGCCTCTCCAAAGGTGGCCCCGAAGACATTCTCCACCTTGTGACCATCCAAATGGCCTGTGTAGCCTGGGTGCATCACCAGCACTGCACACGTGATGCACACATAGCGAAACGACCTTCTGTTTTTTGCTCAAGCAAGCTCTCAGGGTACATGAGGAATCTCACAGGTCTCCTCACAGTTGGTGTCTGTAATTATCATTTTCTACGTATATATGTTTCTATCCTTTCAAATGATTTCTTATCAGCAACTGATCGATCCACTGCTGAAAAAACAGGCCGAATTGCGTTTTACCTGGAGACTGACGACCGGCCGCGTCGCGCGTTTGAAGCAACTGATCGGTGTTTCATACGTTGTGAGATCAGTTCCCCCGCCTGGGATGGGATTCTTGCGCCTTGAGACCTGCATGCAAAGGTCGTCGCATTCGTCGTGGGTTGTGGTGTCGTGAGCCTCCCCCGAATTGAAGGACTTGAGGCTTGGGAAGAATAGTATAGATTATATTAATTATATAGATCTACCCTGTGGATCTACGGTGATTGGAGACACAATGCCGTGTTTTTAGTTCCACATTCACCAATGTTGAGGCAAAATATTCCACCCGGGACATTTTGGTGTCATATGGTGTACATACGTCTTGCAAACGCAAGCTTAGTGCAAGTCTGTAGGTTGGGAGGGTCCAATGACCATCTGAGAAGGTTCGTGGTTGTATGACGTATGACATGTATTTGGCTTCCATGATGACTATAGTAATATTGTGACTGTGTAATATTAACTAACGTCATCTATAGTCTTTGTGCCTCTGATCATGTTGCATGGAGAAAAGACCACCAAGTTCTAAGGAGCCATGCCTCACCCCACCCGACAGCCGCGCGGTCGTCTGTCCGCGCCGAACCTCGCTGAGGGCGCGCCGCCGTTCGTCTCGGCCTAGTGGAGCAAAGCTGAGAGAGGGTGTCCATGTTTTAGGGTGTGGATGCATGGGTGGGTTTAAGATGGCTTGAGCATGTCCAGTCGACAGGTGATTTTAGATATTTTATGATATGTTAGGTGTTTTTTGGGATCAACGGACCATTAACCAATACGAGGATATACGTGATGGATGGGGTGGACGGAAGAACACCGCTTGAGCTGCACATCGATGTTCTCAGAGCCCAGCTCACGGACAAGGCATGGGGCGTTGCCTCGGACGCGCCGAAAGGCCGAAATTTCTTTGCAAACGACGTGATGCATATGGATGGGCTCAATGGCCATTGGCTCAAAGCCATGGTCACCCAAATGGTTTATTTTAGTGAATTTTCGGAGGGTCGAGTCAAGTGTGTCTTTTTGAGCGAAAACATGCGACAACCATATTCTATCATAATATTCTGGTGCGAAAGGGATTCTTACTATTTCTTGCTTGTCTTTCTTTGCATGGGGGTCATCTTCCTTGCCCGAACCAGGGACCTCCTTTACTCGATCCGCACCAACTCACCAACGCATTTTGAGATTTGAGGGGAGGGTGGTCGAAGGGTTAGGTAAGGTTGGGTTAGGTAGGTCTTAAAGCACGTGCATTTGGCCTTCCCCAAGCTTTTTCATGCTTCCTGGCTCCTTCCTGGCACCTTCCTCAGGGAAGGCTCCGTTCAGCCTCTGTGAGTTCGCCCGAACTCCTCCTCCGTCGTCCCGCCGGGACGGAGGGAGGATGAGCGGTCCCACCCCACAGTCTGTCCAGTCACGTTGCGATACATTTGGCAGGTTCCAATCGCAACGTGAGGTTACTGCCCCAACCTATCTTTGTTGCTCTGGATGCAAAGTTTGCAGCAGTACTGGAACACTTGTGCCATAACTCTAACATATGGAGTCCTTGGGTGTTTATGACATGATCGAACTCACTGATTTGAAACCAAGCTGCGATGGCCCATCCTGCTCTGTTTTGCGGAATGGTCATTCTCCACCTTGCAGGGAAATCACTCCAATCATTCGGCCATGTTGTCATTGCCCTTGCCAAATAAGAGCACATTCAATACGCAATATATTGCAATATATCATTAACATGCAAGCTAGCTGCCAGCTTTCTCCGATCACAGCCGACACCTGCCGTTCACACCTTGGTCCCTTTGACAAATGCATGTGACCCAATCGAGCAAACGTAAACCCGTGGCGTTCCATCGCCATTTGCATCGTTGGCATCGTTGGCTTTGTGTTTGCTTTTTTGTCGTGCAAAACAGTGACACACCTTTCTTGCTTTTTTGTGTTTGCCGTCGACTCCTGTATGTCCCAAACATACCTCAACCAGTGCGCACCTGCAATCAGCACAGCTTGGCTGTGCATGAAAAACAGGCTACGTGGCCCGTTAAAGGCTGGAGCAGAAAAAGGGCAAAAAGGATGCAAAAGGAATCAACAGGATAAACATTTCTGCAAATATTCAGTACCACATATGAAGCCAACTTCTATCAAGACATGCCACAGGATTCCCATGGATTCACCTCTGGATTCGACCTTGTGCTGACATCCCTTGACATCTTGGACCTGCCTCAAGGGGGTGGACCACATCCCGGACCTCCTGATTGTCTTCAGAAAACCCAAACACTCCATGCATGCTATGTATGCCTATAAGACCAACCTTTCTGTGGGGGATCTCTCAAATCCTTCGGTGAACAAGAGCACCTGAAACCGCCAATACCCCGCTTGTCCGATCAAACTCCCTGACAGTTTCTCAGGATTTCTCAGGTCTTTTGTTCCTGTCATCGACCAGCACCCATTATTGCCTGAGTCCTACGCACAGGGAGCCTGGATTCGAGAAAAGCATTTATATAGAAAGCATCCAAAAAGCATGGATTCTCCAAACCCCTCCAAATGGATCTACGATTCCAACTCCAAGTTCATTTACACCGCCCGGAGCTTGACCCCTGGCGGCTTTCGACAAAACCCTCGACCCAGCATTCGTGGGTCGGGGAACCGTCAGCGGATGTGGAATGGCACAGTCACTCGGATGGTCGTACAATCTAGCCGAGAACTGAACAATCTGAAAAAGCCATGGCATTTGTCGGGTATTCGAATGAATCAGAAGTGCTTTTGGTGCCACAAATCCGTATGAATCCCCGCTGTCATTCCAACCTCACCTTTGGTGAGGACATAGCTGGCGAAGATCAAAAAGTTACAATTTCCATCAATATCCATGGAGTAGAACACTGAACGTTAGAGTCGCGTCACTTCTAAGCCCCAGCGGTCATTGAATGATCATGCCAGGACACAAGCAATTGCAAACGAAACATGATTTGTTCAGGCATGGCAACCAATCGTCTTGGCCAACGTTTTGTCAACAAAGCGGCTCGTTCCGTTCTCTTATCACTCACCAAAACCAATTCAGCTCAACATCGTTTCACATGGAAAGCTTTGTGCTTCTTTCTGGCTCCTGCGCAAGGAACTGAAACATGGGGCAGGGAACTGAAGCTGCAAACTCTGGTTGCGCAGGTAGACATCGAAAAATCGTTCGTACAGTAACTGCGCAGGTGGAACAAACATGCAACTGCTGAACAGTGTGGAAGTTCTAACGTCACGAAAGGTCTTCAGCTTCAAAGGGCCCTCGGGTTTTCATCAACCCAGTGGCAAGACTCGGAGCACTTTCCCCAACGTTCCATGGCGGAACGGAACGTGTCCCTGCGTTCTTCTTCCTTTGTTGAGGCAGGTCAGATGGGTCATGCGGCCCCAGCCAACACTCAAAAAGGCACCGGCAAGTCGGAGATTGGGCGGTGCCAAGGGCGGACGGTTCTTTGTGGGAGTCATCCTGACATGTCCCAAAGTGTTTGCTTCCCCGTCTGACCCATTTGTGAAGGAAGGTGCTGCATGCTCTAGGCCATCGAACACCACCTTCCCATCTAGTCTTCCGACGTGGCATTGGCACGCTCTCGAAGGTTCACATGTTCAAACGGACCCCCAAACCGTCCACCGACGGGAACTCCAGACCTACAAGCGCAACATGCGATGGGATTTGCCACATCTTTCAAACAAACCTCTTTGGATCCCGACTCCCCCCACCCGAAGGGGGGCGCACATGGGAAAAAACCAGCGTCGTTCTCTTTGCGAACGCGCGGAAGCTAGGGCAACACATCGGCATTATCGGACACCGAAGCGACAAAACACCGGCGCTGGTAGTTCCTGGTGTGCGGGTGAAGGAAACTCATATAGACCCTTGATTTCAATTCAACCCCCCAAGCCTGAAGAAGTCTTACGATCCAAATGGATCCAAATGGTGTGTTTTTATATGTCAAAAGATGTCAAAAGTCGGACTTAGACTCAGTTGGGGCACCACTGCGTTGAGAACCAACAAGGGCCTCCTGGAGCGCGAGGATGCTGATGCCCGTGGGATGGCCTCGTTCGGCCGGTGAGAAGGGGTTTCATATGGTTTCATTTTGACGTCATGAACGTGGAGACTTGTTGTCTGTTTCTTGTTGAACGGCTGGCTGGCCTTCCGTTTGGTCTTCCAAAAAGCCACCGAGCGTTGAGTGTTCTATGATGTTCTACGTGATATTGGCGTTCAAAGGGCTTGATAAAGGTCTCCCATGGTCTCCCCATGTCTTACCACTTTCCGCCAACCTCCTCCGCAATAAAGCAGCCATCTTAATCCTTCTACCGTTGCTTCATCTCCCCTCTTTCCGCCACTCGAGCATCCGAGTGGCTGCTTTGAGATAATCCCGAGACGCTCCGCAGCAGAGCTCCTCTCAGCAGCAGGTTCGAAGTGAGTCGACTCACCCTTGTGTGGCACAATGACTCTAAGAAACGACTTGCACTCACACACCATGCGTTACTCGCATGTCGACGGGTTCAGTACTTGGTATCCCAAAAGAAGAACATAGGCTGATCCAGTTGCCCAGTTTGTTGAACGTTTAAGGTCGCCAGAGTGCCCCAAACAGCACAACCTCTATTACTTAACGAAGTTGTTCTTGGATCAATCTGTAGCACCGCTGGCAACCTCCCATGGCCAGGCTGGCCAGCGGTGCAAAATCTCGGCTTCAGGTCAGGCAGTGAAAGCTTGAGAGAAAAGTGCTCAGACGAACAGAACTTCCTGAAAACGCTTCGATCGTCAGGGAAGCAAGAGAGTTCCAAAAGCAAACCACGAGCAGCAATGAGAAAGAACACATAATATGATTAATAGAAGTCATGAAAAAGCCGACCCAGCTGTTGACAACAGCCTATCCACCTATCCCCAACGTCCCCAATCCGTGAGATCACCCGATCTCGCTTCACTCCCCCCCGGTCAGTGAGGCCTGCACGGACCGGTCGAAGTGCATAGGCCTCAACTGGAGAACCTGGCGCTGGACAACCGCAACAAGTCTCGAAACAGAATGAAGTGGTCAAACCAAGTCTTCACTTTGAATGGACACAACGAAGTCTACTTTCTCAGGCCAAACTTCTCCGTCAACCCTTCGCCTTCTGGCGCAACGGAGTACGTGTCCCTCCTGGCCGACCAGCCGATGGCATGATGGGGGCGACGGCGACGGCTTACTGTTTGAGTCAAGGTGTTGTGCGTGGACATAAGGGTGTGGCTTGAGAACAGGACCAAAAGTAGGAGGTCATGTCACAGTATCTCGTTCAGACTACTTTAGTCGCAGATCATACTATCTCATTCAGACTACTTTATTGTCATCAAGCAAAAGTATCTCGTTTATGTGGGGGCCCTATCTCGTTCACCAGCGAATAGATTGCCGTAGACTATTTTAGAAAGCCTAAATAAAGGGGGTTGCTCATGTATCCAGATCGACCTCTGAGAGAATGGACCATGGGATGCCATGGGTGGGGTGTCTTGGTACAAATCCACCCAGGTCTCCAAAGCCACAGTCTTTCGGTCTCCAAAGCCACACTGCGGTCCCCAAAACCGGGACCAAAGGGGTCGAACCCAAGGGGGTGAACCGAGGAAGGTCAGCGAACAGCAGTGCAAGAGGTCAACTCGCCTACAGTACCTGGTCGAGCCATAGGTCTATAAAAGGGCTTCCTGGATGAGATAGGATGCCAGGGCGGGAAGTCTTCGGAGAAGATCCAGTTGCCGAATCTTGTGAGGCAAATTCACTTCACCAAGAGATGACGGCCGTGGGATTCCCTGTTTCCATGATCATGAGTTCTCCAAGCCAGGCCCATGACCCACCCAGGCTGCAGCCTCGTGAGACCCCAAAACGTGACCGACAAGTTCATGGGACCCGTCCAGCTCTGGTGCCATTTGCTTCGTTGGCCGACCAACGGACCGGCCTCGTAGGAGAGTCGGAGGTCTCGCTGCTGAAGTTGAGGTCTGCCTGACTGTGAAGGAAGGAAGAACTGCCTGGGGAAAGAAGTTGTGGGACAGTGAAAGTGTCCAAGTGTCACACGGCGCAAAACGTTGGCTCATGTTGGCTCTGTTTGTTTAGCAGGACGGTGTTTGACCCAAGCTTTTGTCATGTCGCACCAACTTGGTCAAAAAGGTGGCGGATCCATCGAGTTCATCCAGCTGAGCCAATCAGCCAGCTTTCTCCGAAATGTTCCACAACATCACATAGGGTGTAGGGATGTGTAGGGATGCGTACGGATGGTTTAGGGATGTTTAGGGTTTGACCGTAGAGCGCTGGAGCTCCAAAAGCTGGAGATTCGAGATCCATTGGCACTCGGAGAATGGCCCGCCCCGGAGCACCTGAGAGTTGCTGCTCAACCTGAGACGGTCGGCGCGTTTGGCGCTGTAAGGCGCTGTAGAAAAGCGGTCTTCGGATTTTTTGCAACAGAAACGGGCTTCTTCCTTTTGCGATTTTGGGGATCCTGAAAAATCATCTCCTGCAATCCATCTCTGTGCCACGTCTAGGCCTTCTGTAAGACTGATTTGTCCTTCCGCTGAAGGTTCCAAATACCCCTTTTGAGGGGCCACAGCACTTTACTTCCTCGGAAGGTGCAAGTGGCACATGCTGCTGGCGCGTCCGCTGTCTTCTAAGCTAACTTCGCTGGGTACTTAGCTGAGATCTTCATCGATCTTCTAGCAAAATGTTCATCGACTGGGCAAGAAGACTTTCAAGTAATACCACTGGCTGTACCAAATGCTACGGGACTTTCCATGGAATTCGGGTGATGATCGCGGAAGATGTCGATGCACACACCGCCATCGACCTCGCTGCCGAGTGGCTTCGACCTTCGCCTGGGCCGGATGGAGCGATGATGGCTTCTAAGCTACCGATTCTTCGGGGTCAATGATGTTTCTCTTGGCTTCTTGGTTACTAGTAGTAAGGCCAGGAGCCCCTCGTAGCGTCCTTGTTCCTGGTAGCGATGCTACGGTCGCCCCGTTCGTAGCGTCCTTGCTCCTACCGTAATGAAACATAATGACGCTCATCGTGCAATGCGCACGGTTTGGGGCACCCACCAGGCGGTGGACGTCCCGAAACCGACCCTGGCGCCCCGGCCGGATGGACTTGTCTTGCAGCAGTCGCACGGCCGTGGTGAGCAGGCCCTGACGAGTGAAAAAGGGACCACCAACAATAATATTGGATCTTGATTAGATGAGCGACGTGCAAAACCTTTTATGCGTTGCAGTGCGCAGTCTTCCCAACGTTATCGATCTTCTGATCATATACTGTTTATAAATGTTTATAAACCATATTAATGAGACCCCCATATGATCCCATATGAAAAGGTTTTGCATGGTTTTACAATGCACATGAGAGGGGTCAAGAGTCAACATCCACCGGGGATGAATGGCACCAGCCTGTCGACCTTTTGTTGACCTGCCGGTCGGATGAAATCCTGCACCACAGACCCTCTTGCAAAAGGAAAAGTGCACTGAAACGCAACCAATGGGAGTGTCTCCATATTCCAATACTCGCATAAATAGACCTAAGCGAGCTCGCCTGCAACTCACTTTGGCGTCGATGAAGGGAATCGAGATCGGAGTTGACGCTGTGCAAATCGATTCCTCAGTCCGACAGTGCTTTTCTCAAGAGAGGCTTTTTGTGACACTACTGGGGGTACCTATGGGACAGTCTGGGCCCTTCAACCGGTCAGGGACTGGACAGGCAGTTGCGGCTTTGGGGTCCTGCAAGAGGTCCAAAAGGCACCAGAGAATGCCCGCAGAAGAATAGCACAAGAACTGATGAGGTTGGTGGATGTTGCTGCTACAACTCTGCTGGCTTGTATCCACAACTCTTCAAAATCCACAGCAATTTGCTGTGTCACAGCTGGTGCCTTGATATTGTCAATAACAACCAAGAAGTTTGCAAGTTGCTCAATCGAAGTACTTCTCTTCGTCTCTTATTGTGCAATATTGCGCAACATAAAATATCAGCAGCAATCTAGTCTTATCATGTCTCATCTACCTCTACATGTTCCGTATATGACTATACAAGAAGGTGACATAACATGCAATCCTTTGACTACATGTGATTGCACATGAAAGTCCAACCATGCCCATCTTGTTCAAACGGGGTTGGCTCCATCGCCGAGCTGCCGGTGGCTCCACCTGTCCCGTTCCATCGGAATGGCGGCACGAGACCCACGTTGCAAGATGTTGCAAGACTAAACACGACCTGCTTCTTTGCTCCTAGTAGCTTCTTGTTACTACTAGCATGGCACCTGTTTCTACTAGCTTCTTGTTACTACTAGTAAGGCACTTGTTACTACAAGCGATGCACTTGTTACTACAAGCGATGCACTTGTTACTACTAGCGTGGCACTTGTT